AAAAAAAAAAAAACCCCTCCCTTAAATTTGGGAAGCCCCTTTCTAGGAGAATAATGACAACAAGTGCATACTACCCCTTTGTACCATAATCTCTCTAATCAGGAAAAAGCAACGCGGTTGTTAAAATACACAAACTTAATTTTGTCATAACCAAAATATCTTTTTAAATTATTACAGAATTCTCCTTATTAATTCCCATCCCCTGTACTCACATTTTCTGTATATATATGTATTTTTTTTTCCCTATCTCAAGTACATTTAGGTGTCAATTAAATTTGAAATATCTACATTTGTCAGCATTTCATTTTTGGCCAGTGTGATGTGCTGCTGATTTGTCCATGCATCCTGACACATGAAAAAAGCTCCTGAGATGCAGATCTTCCTCATTAAAAAAGAAACCCCTACTATCATAATGGTGCGCAGAGCCATGGAGCGCATCCCCAGCTTTATTGCGCTGTGTTTCTGACATGATATTTAAAAAGGAACAGCCACGGCTGTCAGTACTGTCATATGCTGGTGCTAACCGAAGACATGTTAAACTAAACATTAGAAAGAGATCAGCAAGTCATCTGCATGGTAACTCAGCGAAGAGATTAGGTAGGCAGGAGCTGGTGCAGTCATGTGGAGATGATGAGGGTTGTAGCGGTGACGGACACATCCTTTTTTCCCTCTCAGGCTGCAGCCGTGCCTGCCTCGTAGCCGGGCGTGCTGTGACCTGCCTGCTCAGAGACAGCTCTTTGTGCAGGGGATTCGAGCGAGTGGTGGGTGGCAGACGGCGGGAGAGTTCCCGAATTGGGTTAATGAGGGAATAGGCACTTTTTTTGGATCCGACTGCCTCGAGCTAATAAAAAATTTAAACTTGGACAATTTTAGATTGTTCATCCCTTCTCCTGGATCACAATCATTACAGAGCACCCCAACAGTGCAACTTAAGCGCTTGCTTTCTTGTAATTAGGAGATCCCACTTTCATTTAAGGAATCTTGCAGCAGCAGCAAACCTGGTACATATGAACTTGCTCTGTACATAATCCTGTTTGCACTGAGCTGCACTGAAGTGCAGTTGATGATCTGGCCAACAAGATCCTGTCTTATTTCTTTGGAGTTTGTTCCTAGTTTAATAAATACGTGCACACAGACACAGAGCATTTGAATTTAGCATAGTGTGAAGGCAGACAAAAGGTATCACAGGCAATGCTTTAAGGGCAACTGCACCAATATATTTGTTATGTGCAGTTACCAGACATTTTGTGTATTGGTGAGATGTGTAGAAATTCAATATTCCTCTTGCTTTCTGGAAATCATTTTAGATCTTCTGGGATCATGTTAAATGGTAATTTGTTCTCCTAAGACAAAAAGACTTGTATGTAAGTTCAAAGCCACAATATTTTTAAAGTATCTTTGATTTCAGATTTATTTTAGGTGGAGCCTTTTGGTAATGTAAATTGAAATTTTTGGATAATAGTCACTTCCCTTAAAAAAAAAAAAAAAAAAAAAAGGGGGGAGTTAAAAATAATGTTACAGCAAATTTTTCCTAATGCAGTGGCCTCACTTCACTTTCCGCAGATGCCTGTTGTAGCAGAAGAGAGGAAAAGAACAGCTGTGCCACAGCTTTACCTGGGGTACCTCAGACTAGGATTTAACACTGTCGTCAGCATCCACTGCCACCACTGTTTTAGACTTTATATTAATGAGCTTTTGCCTGATTGTGGATAAACATTTGTTCTGGGTGGCAGCTCAGGCCCTCAGAGCTGTCTGTTGCTGTGTCCAACTTCCTTTTTCCTGACCTACTCCTTTAGACTGATTTTCATAACTTTATTATATAGTTGCTTAGTAATTGAGACAAAAGAACTAAAAGAGTGGAGGCTGACCATGTATTCAAATGTCGCTCAAGGTAGTTTGTTAGTACTGTACTCTAAAGGCAACAAATCCAATTCTTTCTATCCATGTTTTTGGTCCAGTTCTGATTTCAGCATATCCTTGTCTAACCTAGAACGTACATGGTGGTGCATTGCTCTGTGATGTCTACAGGATCAGCATCTATCCTTTGTTCCACATGATGGGCCTGACTCTGCTTGCACTGAAGAATTCTATTCTGGAGCTCAGTAGTAGCAGAATTAGGCTCCCACACCAGTTGTGTATTGCTTTGGGTCATTCATGATGTATGTTTTGATTCACTACAGTAACTAGGATATTATCAGTGGTGTGTGGTTGGTAAAATGGAGATGTTTGTGAAGAGACCTCATTCAGACAGCTAGAATGTTTGCTTTTATAACCCTAGCCATTTCTTTTCCATTGTTCTGGTGATGAGAGGAAGGAAAGAGAGACCTGGTGAGTTTCTGCCTTGGCCCCTTTTGCCCCGTGGGTGTGATTGCAGGTCTTGGCACCCTCCCCAACTAGATGGCACCTAAGATGTTTTTAGAAGAGTTGTGTTTTCTGCCTGAAAAGCAGAGCTCCACGACCACCTGCAGAGCTCTTCGCGGTGCAGCCCGTCACGCTAGGAAATGATTGAGAGCCTGTGGACCACTGGGTTTCTCTCTCCTCTGGAGCTTTGATTGTGACAACTTGATAACTTCCTTTTCTCTTCCTGTTTCCCTCAGCCTTGTAAAGCCCATGCGACACTATACAGTCTTCCTCTCTGAGGACTCTTCTGATGATGAATTTCAGCAGGAAGAGGATCCTGTCTGTGGCTTCTCTGAAAACTTTTTCTTCTCTGCTCCTTTTGAATGGTCTATCCTTTATTCTTCCATTGTATTAATTCAGTCTCCAAACAATGGTTTTTGCGTTGGTCAGGGTGCCTGCTCCTGTACTGGGAATCTTGGAAATGCTCCTGTGGTGTCTGTACAGCACTTGATGAATGTTCAGCATTTCTCCTGCTTGTTTGTTTGAATATTTAGTGGCATGCAAAAGCATACTCCTGCATGAAACACTACACAGCAATGCAGAGCTTGTGGTTTCACATCAGCTCAAGCTCTGTGCAATGTAACCCTTCCTCTTGCCCTTTGTTGCAATGTGCTGCTTGTGTTCCTGTCTACACCTTCTGCCACCTGACCTTGTGCAGCGCTCGCTGTGCTTTCTGGATTGTCCTGTGAGCCTTATTGCAGGGCAGTCACCAGCTTTTCCTGCTTTCACTTGCTTGATCCCAGCCTCTCTGTTCTGTCAAGTATCACGTCCTCAGTGATGATGGGGAGTCACCATGCAGACGTCCTTTGGGGGTTTTGAGTACAGTCTGACCTAAAATTATTATATGATATAGGATGCATTTTTATTGGGTTTACTCAGTGTGTTATTTGTATCCAACTTTTTAATTTGCAAATTCTCAAACTTCTATAACTTAGTCTTGCCTAGTTTTGTGCATGGTGCTGAGCAGCTTGGCCATATTGGAGCCACCAGCCTGTGAGAGCTGTATGTAAGCACTGGAGCAGAAGCTGACAGGCAACACTCTTTTATCTGGACAGTAAAAGACTCACAGGAGCCCGAGCATATCTCTTTGATATGCATTGGAGGTGCACAGGGACTCACCTGTAGTAAATACCTTTTACTGTGTATTTGAACATACCAGCCCTGAGGGCAGTCTTGAGCTAAGGCCTGAATGTCATCCAGAGTGTTTGTTCTTTCCTAATCTCACCTGCTTGAGGATTTCTAGGGGGAAAGGATGATAAATTGCATGGAATTACACTCATACTTTTAACAGATGCTGTTATTGGCTTGACCAGAACCTGTAGGAAGAGGTGCCGGGGCACTGCGAGCCGCTAATTCAGGGATCTGCGTGATGCCAGATCTGGGGGGTTCCGGGAGGTGGGAGTGAGCCCAGTCACATCAGAGCAGCTGGAGCTGGAGGGAGGCGTGTTAGACTGGCTGGAGAAGGAGGCTGCTGGTTGGATAGCGGAGTCCCCAGTTGCTAAAATCTGTTGTGTAATGCAGAAGGCAGGTCCAGGACTGACAGGGAAGTGATGGGTCTGCAGCAGTTGGCCATGGGGAGATGGACAGACAGGTTCAGTAGCAAAGGGGTGGAGAAGTGTTCCCAGTCTCTCATGTTTGGGGTGGCAGAGGCCAGGCTGCTAGAATGGTTTGTTTGCAGAATAGTCCTCAGGATTTTTGCAGCATGATCTAGTGCTTAAGCAGCTGAGCACATACTATGGGAGAGACTAAAGATACAACCAAGATTTGCAAGATCACCCTCTTCCTAAGGACATGTACCATCAGCTGTCTGTTTGTACTCACATTATACGTTCTGGTGTAGCTAGCTGAATCCTGCGATACGTGTTGATGAATGAAGATGGGCTGTTCATAAATTTGCATGATATAGATGTATTATAGTAAAATAAGGAAAGAGGAGGAAGCTTCTTCCATAGTGTCTGTTTTTGCAGGTCTCACAAATATTTCCTTTTAATTGAAACCTTGTTTAAATGCCACAGTAAAACTGGCTGCCAGTCAAATGTCAATCACCACGGATACATGTGGCACTTCTAGTTATTAATTGGCTGCGCATTATGCTGCTGTTCTCTGTACACAGAACCAATATGCAAATCTGCTGGTGTTCATTTTTTGCTGAGGTATGTGCAAGAAAAGCATCCTGCGAACTCGGCCTTGGCTGTAAATGTAAAATAGGTGTCTCCATAATGGATTGTGTTGTTTCTTGATAAGATGACACCAATGTAATCATTGGAACTCTGCACAGTGTTCCCAATTATTGGAGGAAAACACTGAATTATGTTCTGTGCTGAGTTAGCTTGGAGCAGGAGAATGGCAGTGCCTGCAAATCACAGGGGACTTCGCTGCGCGCTGGCTCCGACTCACTGTGTGGAAGGGCATGGGAGCAATGGTCTGCTGGGGGGGAGGGGGGGATGTGCCAAAAGGGAGAGCTGGTGTCCAGTTATTCCTGTTCCAAGAGTAATATCCCCCCTCAGCCTGTCTGTAACCGCATGATCACAGCTTTCCTCTGAGTGCTTCCCACTTCTTTCTCCTTTCTGAAAACCCTCAAGTGCCAAGTCATCTTTGTGTGTTCTTTTGCCCTCGGTCACTGCTCACATTCATGTTGTTCACAAGGCACTGGAAACTGTATCATGAAGCCATCCAGCTCCTTATGAAATACTTGTTTAAAAAGTAGTGATTAGACAGTCACTGCCAACGTGGTTTTTGTTTCTCCCCAAGGCCTCAGCCCTACCGGGCCCTGAAAGAATCTGACAGTGCTGATGGGGAAGAGGCGGTCAGCCCAGAAAAATCCAAAGATCCTCTGCCTCCAAGCCCTCTCCTCTCAAGCAAGGCCACAGAAATCAACCTCCTTGAAGACATCTTCCCAAACTTAGAAGTAGAAACACAGCCTCAGCCTCTGAGCCAAGCCAAGAGCCTGGAAGACCTGAGGACTCCCAAAGAAGAGGGGGATCAGCGATGCACATTTGATTACCAGGTGTGGCTGGGGTTTCATGTGTGCTGGGGAGGGGGGCGTTGCACAGAGCCAGGCTGTCTGTCTGTCCATTATTCCATTCTTGGAAGTGTTCAAGGCCAGGCTGGACGCAGCTTGGAGCAACCTGCTCTAGTGGAAGGTGTCCCTGCCTATGGCAGGGGGTTGGAACTGGACGACCTTTAAGGTCCCTTCAGCCCGAACCGTTCTGTGTTTCTCTGAGGAACCTTTTCATATCATTATGTAGATGTATCCATTTTTCAGGCATTTGTTCATGTTTCAAAATTAATCTCTTAATTCAGAGATTACTAGGATGGGACTCAGTTATATGTCAGTAACTTTTTCCAGTAAAACCATAGCCTTTACCTCTCAAAAAGGGAGGATTTGCCCTATTCCTCAGAAAGTGTTTTGTCCACTGGCTGTCATGCAGTGATCTTTGAAGCTGATGCTTAGCAGTGAGAAAAACACTGCGTGTTTTTTAAATGACCTTCTTTCAATCTGTCCATTTTGGTCAAGGTGTCATATGAACAATGGAGATTGTAGAAGAGAGATTCTTCATGAAGAACTTGACTGATTAAGTGCAGCTTAGAAAGTGCTGAACTAAATCAGAGTCTGAGATCTTCATGTGACATGAAAGAATGGCATTTCCACCTTACAATAGTACTTAATTTAGTGTTATGTCCAGGTACTTCATTTGACAGCTTTTTCCTTACAGCAGTTAAAGCTTTTCAGTTCCTGTACCTTAGATATAGGTACGTGTCCCTTACTTGGCTAACAACAGATGCCACATAATGTCACAGCGGAGCAACTTGTTAGAGGCGGAGCTGGACTTAAAACTGCAGAGTCCTGCTTCTGATGTCCTGCCTGTCCTTCTGGACTGCATGCTCCTTCTCTCTCCAGTGTTGGCAGCCTGTGGGCAGATCCTCTTCAACTCGTGGCTCAGCAGCCTGGCTTTATGCTGCTTCATGCTCTATGTTGTGAGGAGATCAGTGAAAGTTAACGTATTTTTTATGCTTTCTTCCAGAGAATGGATCTTGGTGTGTCAGAGAGGAACAGGATTGTGCCACCCATGAAGCTCTCTCACCCTTACAACAAGCTGTGGAGTATGGGTCATGATGACATGGCTATTCCGACCAAGTATTCCCAAAGCTCACCAGAAAGGCCCTTGACTGCACTTGGTAACATGCCACCCATTGCAAGGAGACCCCGGAGCAGAGACAGCATCCTGGCTCCTGCAGAAAAGGATGAATCAAATCCTGCCATTCAAGGGAACATCACCATTCCTAGGCCGCAGGGAAGAAAGACTCCTGAACTGGGGATAGTGCCACCACCACCAGCGCCCAGGGCTTCCAAGCATCAGACTCCAGCTGGGCCAGCAGAAATTCTTACCCCAGGACGTAGCCATTTGGTTTCAGATCTTATCCCAGAGCCCTTTGGAGCTGGTAGCGTGCCCTTAGACCCTGAAATCCAGCAGTCTGTAAATTACTCCTCTCGTCCATCTCAGCTTTTGTCCAGTGCTACCAGCACTGCTGAGATGCTCCAGCCTGTCAAGGTGCAGACAGAAAACACAGGTAACGAAAGCGACTACCTTCTTAATTTACTGGATCCATTAAAAACAGCCAGCTGGCAAAGCAGTGGCCCACAGCAAGGTCCCCGCAGCCTGCAGAGCTCAGCTGCTTCACCTTCTGCAGCTGGCTTTGCCTCGGTGGCAAGTGACTTTGTGCCTACTCCAGCTGCACCATTTGTCCAGCCACTTGGTTATCCTTCCCCAGCACCTCCTCCTTTTTTACAGCCATCTCCTAACCCATTCACTCAGACAATGCCAGGAGCCCTTTCAGTGTCTCTAGTTAGACCCCCGAGGGGCTCTTTTACCCCCTCTTTAGGTCACGCCTATAGCTCTAGCTTCATAACCCCTAGTTCAAGCTTCTACCCACCACAAAGACCTCAACCAAACATTTCAACACTCTCCATGCCAAACTTGTTTAGCCAGGCTCCAGCCGTGCCACCGGCGAGCTCCTTACTGCTGCAGAGCCCTTCTCCTGCAGGCTCTCTGCAGCCAGCACGTTTGAGTGGTCCTTCTAAAACCAGAACGTTACAGGTGGGCCAGGCCAGCTCAAAGGTAGATCCCAAACAAGCACTCTCTCTCCTGTCTAACGAACCCCCTTTGATCCCTGTCAGGCCAGCTAAGGGCTTAGAGTCGGTGTTACTGTCCTCAAAATCTGAGGAGACAAAAGATCCATTTGAAGATTTGCTAAAAAAGACAAAGCAAGACGTGTCATCCACACCAGGTAAGGTTGAACAGCTCAGAAAGCGATGGGAAACCTTTGAGTAACGCTCCCGATGGCCTTTTGATGTCCCTTTGGAATTGACAGAGGAGTTTTTGGGTTTTTTTGAGCCAGCATAAAACCAAGCATTTCTTTCACGGAAGGCTGAGCCAGGAGAGCTGCAGGACCAGCACCGTGTGCAACTCACACACGAATTCTTTTAGTCCAGAGTTTCCCCATTGTCCTGCTTCTTGCAACTGCTTCCTCACTCTCCACCACTGGAAACCCCCGGGACTTGCACTGACCAAAGCATGAAGGTAGCGGGATTTGGTTTGGTTTTCCACACAAAGCTCTTCAGGCAACACTGCTGAGGCAGAAGCTGCTCCTTTCCTTGTATTTGCAGTCCTTAACGCGGGCAGGAGCATGATGTGGCGCATGGACTGGTGTGTTCTTCACACAGGGGGAATGGTGGTGAGTTTTTCTTGTGTTCGCTACACAATAACTATAGAATCTTTTGCTTTCAGGTGTAAAGAGCAGCAAAACAACCCAGCCCTGTGGGGTGCACGGGGTGCATCTGTTTGTTAGGCTCTGAGTTTGCCCTGTCTCGAAATGCAGCTGTTCATTTAGGCTACATTATTGGATGAGCTTTTATTGCAGGCTTTTGATTTTTCTCCCTGCTATACTCAGAGGTAACAGGGACTTCTCTGGTGCAGAGGTGTTGTAAGTCCGTGTTGCAACAAAACCATGGCACAGAGCAGTTGCTCAGGGTTTGGTCCTGCATCTCTGTTGGGAAACTGGAAACACCAGCAATTGTTTTCATTTTTAGGGTTTTGTTTGTTTGTTTTTGTTAAATCCATCAGAAAATAGAGGCCATAAAGAGTATCCTAGTTCTTATATCTGTGTATGTTAATATTATATATAAATACTATAAATGGCAGTATATGAATGGAATGTAACAATATCTTACTTGGTTATTACAAACTAAAAAGAGAAAAAACTTGGGGTATGAAAGTTCCCAGCTCATGTTAAAGGCCAGTGTGTGGACACGCTGGCAGTGAGGTACAGGAATACCGGTGCCTGCCTTGGAACCAGGGCTTGGATCTGGCCTGCGCCCGGCTCCGTCAGCCTGTCCTGCAGTGCTGAGACCCGTTTGCTGGTACAAGGAGACAGTGACTGGATGAGGAAATGGACTGTGAGGCCATGAAGGACAGCCAGGCCCTGGGAAGGGTAACGGGTACGTTCACTGGGATTTTCTGAGGCGCTTCCCTGTGGCAAAAGTATTCTCAAGAAACGTCACCTTCATCTCAGCATCCCTTCTCAAACCTGCTGTCTCCGCAGTCGTCATTTCTGGGTTACTTCCGTGGTGCTTCTTTCGTTTTGTATTTGGGCACAATCTGCTGTAAACCATGTTACTCTAGAAGAGGTAATATCTCATCACCATAAGCCTTTGATAAAGGAAACCATTTTGGACACACGGGGAAATTCTTGTAAAGCTTTATCTGATTTCCAATGTATCTATTTTAGTCACATAATCTGGGAAGTTTTCTTACTCAGTGTATGACAGTGGCTGTCTCTGCGAGCGAGTCTGACATGCCAACAGTTTGGGGGAGACTGCAGTCTTACATTAATACTGCACTGCTGTACAGTGCTGTTCCTCTGACGAGCCACTCGGTTGGGTTTGTATTTTCCTTTTGTGTTGGAAGACGGATGGTTTTAGTATTGCATAGTAAAATATTAAAAGTCTCAGATAATAGTTCCACTTTATTTTATACAGTTCAGACTATGAATGTCATCTGTAAATTCAGGCTGGAATTTCGGATCTCCTTTGCTATGAACCAGATGATAAAACTGTCTTGATTGTGGTGTGTACGTGCAGGCACCAGGAGGTTCTGCACAGGATGTGCCACTGGAATTTCACATGGGTTTTAATTAATATTTGTAATGTCACACAGAGATGATAAACTGAGGAGGCCTCACACATGCTCAGGTAATTCTGTATCACTGCGAATCGTTGCCCATCTCTGGTCATTTTACTCTGCCCATATTATAGAATATTTTATGCAGTGGGTTTTTAGACGAACAAGCACACTTGGGTTTAGCTTTTGAGTGAGTTTGAGGCACCAAAAAGCACTAACACTTCAATAAATGCATTAATCACCCTTCACTTGGTCTTGAGGGGCAGGGAAAAGTTTGACACCCGTCGAGATCCAGGAGGACAAGGCAGCTCCTAGAGCTCGTGACCTCCCTCCTTTGGGAACAGAATTTGCAGGGGGCTGGTTTCTGTGTTTCTGGTAATAAAGGAATCAGATGTCCCTCAGGCAGGATTTAGTGTGTTCTCTTTTTTAAACTCAGGAATTCCAAACGCAATTCATTCAGTCTGGAACCCAAGTGTGCTTGTCTGGGGATGGAAGAACTTTGCTTTTTCTGATGTAGAAGTATTTTTGGTGGTTTTACCAATCAAGATAAGTGTTCCTGATATTATTCATCAGTGACTTTATATTCAGCTTTGTACATTTCTCCTGTATTCACCACACCTGGTTGGTGAAGCTTTGCTTAGTTATAGCAGACCCTCAGCGTTCTGACACAGCTGCTGCTGTACTGACGGTACAACCAGTTTTATGTCCTGTTCACTCACAAGGCTGGAAACGTTTTAGAGACGGGCACTGGAAGCTGTGGAGACATGAGAATGCTGTTGCTGAAGACCCCTCATTGCCTCATGTGTATGTTACAAGAGGTTTGTGATTCCCCTGCACGTACTAGGGGCTATATTTTAGGATCTAACATCCAGGTTTGGAAATTGGAGTTTTTCCATTTTGCTTCTAATTGTTGGAGGTTAACAGCCGGATGGATTTCAGATGGGAAACGGTGCAGACAGGAGCTGCTGCAGTCCCCTCCTGTCCTTTGGGAATGGCAAGTGATGTCCAAGAGAACTTTCTGGCACTGGGAATGGCCGCATTCCCCTGCACAGGTCAGAGTCAGCCATCTAATTACTCTTAAAAGAAGCAGCCACTCACAGTCAGGGGAACTGGGTCTATTTTTAACCAAGTTTTATTGTAAATTTCTTTGAAGGACATTCTAATTTTTTTACAAATTATAAAATTTACAGTTACAAAAGAAATCAGGATCCGGAACTACAGCAAATGCAGTTCTGTGAAAAAATATATTCCAAAATTAAATATCAAAAGGAAGTTTAGTTCATTATTGAAAAAAAACCAAACTTTCATAAATTATTTTGCAGAAATGCTCAAGACACTGACAAAGTATTTTAACACGTTTCTAGTACTGGCTTTGGGTGTTCGACATGGACACGGCTGCTCTGGAATCCTGGAAAGCGCCGGAGCAGGACAGACCCTTCCTGCCGCCGGCCTGGAGCCGCACACAACTCCCTGCCTGCCATTACCTGGGTTTAGCTCTTTACTGCTGTGGGGTTTGTAGCTGCTTGTTCCGTAGCTTAATTACAGTTCTTAATAACACAATTCTGGTTTTCTTCCCAAAGTGATACGGGCTGGAGTAAATACCTGTTCATTTCGATCCCGTTGCTGCCTTGGTTTTTCCACAATTTAAATGGAAAAACTGGAGTGGAGCTGGAAGGTAAAAGCATGAGCCACGACCTGGAGGTGAATCGGGTCGGAGGCTGCAGAACCCAGAGCTGAGGTGAAGCTTCTGTGGTTGATTACAAACTGGAATGGGATGAAGAAAACCTCACCTACCATTGCAGTGCAGTGAGGGCTGCCCAGCTGGGCTCAGTCCCGGCCCTCCAGGGACAATGCCACCCTTCCATAGGGACAGGTTTGGGTCAGGGTGGATTTTTGTATCTCCAGAGCCAGCACAGGGCCTGCCCCTCTGGGAAAGTGACGCCTCCTTCAACTTGTTCATCCTCTGCTTGCACAGATGCTGCTGAGCAAAGGAGCATCACCTTTTTCCTAAGGCTGCAGCCTAACTGGTTCCAGGCAGCAAGTGAGTGACAGGGCCCTGCCTCTGCTCCACAGCTGCGAGAGACCTTCCTAAAGAGCATCTGTAAACTACACCCAGCAAAGAAAAGTAACAGCAGTGTTATTACTAATAAATAAATAAAATAAACTGAAGTTAGGGCATTTCTTTATCCTCTCCAGCCCCTCAGCACAGTGGGGTCACCGCCTGCTCTTACAACTTCCCCTCTGGATTAGAGGAAAAATACTGTCTTTTTCCATTTTCCAAAATATTCCTTCTCCTCACCTACCAGCAGCTGCGTGTGCGCTGCAGAGCTGGGCAGCACAGGCCCGAGCAGTTGGTTTTACTCCTCCCTTTACTTAGAATTACAGGAGAAGTCACAGCTACAGCAGAAATAAAAACAGACCAAAAGCAAACCAGAAAGTGTTTTCCTCCCGCTGGTGGCGAGTAGTTACGGGGGCAGATTCACACCCTGCTGCTTAATGGTATTTCAGGGATTAAAAAGCAGACAAGTTTGCCAAAATACTTGTCACTGATAGTTGTAGTAATTATCCTGACACACTAATGATTCTAGACCTTATCTGGCCTCCTCTGCAGCATTTCTTTCCACAGCTACAACAGACACAAAGGAGAAGTGACACCACAAAAGAAACACTCTTTTTACAGCAATGTGCCTCACTACCACACAAACACAGGTTTTGTGTTAAAGGACACTATATTAGTGAATTAAATCCCATCCTCCTGTACTGACAAGCCCAAACCTGCCTGTCCAAGAGGAAGAGGTCTTGAATTGGCTCCTTCCCTGCTCCTCACACGTAAACACCACGTGACGTTCAAACCTTCAGTCCCTTAGGAAGGTCCATTCTGCAGTTGTGCTGTGCAGTGCCTGCTCCTGCCCCTGAGCTGGCTGCTCTCTGCAGAGGGCTGCGACCAGCCTGGTACCATCACCCAGCTGACAAAGGAAGCGATCTGTTTATCAACATACAAACATTCTCCTTCCAAAGAAGGTAAATACTGTAACTGGCAATTCATGCTCAGAAAGGCACTTACTTACTTAAAATACTCCTGTGGTTTAGTCTAGGCCTAGAAGTAGTTTTAGTAGAAGTACTCAATGTCACACAGTGGTACTCAAGTTCTCATGTCACAATGTGCACTCTATAGTGATGGAAGGACAGCAGCAGCTCTAGGAGATCCTCGAGGAGACCCCCCCCCCCAGCCAGTCACCTACTGTAGCTCTGCAGAGGACGCACAGGCACATGGGTTTGAAACCGCCCCATTATTCACATTATTTCTTAACGCTGTTTAATTCCCATTAATTTGACCTACCTCGCATACGTGGAGGTGTTTTCACGGTGACAGCGCGGCAGAGGCAGTTGCTGCTGCCCTGCTCTCTGGTGAC